CGCTGTAGCGCTCCCACAGCACGGGGTTTTGTACCCGCTCCACCCGCTGCACCTGAATGTTAGCTGGCCCTTGCCCATCAATGCTCAGCTGCTTCAGCAGCTCAGCAACCTAGTTGCACGGTACATCCAAATCAGTCTTCATGTCGAGGTAAGCATTGCATCAACAACGAACGCACCTCTGGGATAAGCTCGGGTGAATTGCGCAAAACTTCAATGGCTGGCCCGGCATGGGCGGCGACAGGTCGTTCTGCAATCTGCCGGCCGCTCAATAGGCTCGGCCGTTGCTTTGGATCTGTTGCAAGCAAAGCCCGCGTTTCCTTGTACAAATCACTCGACGAATCGCACATCTGCAATGGAAAAAGTTTTATGAGCTTAGAATGAGCTGGTCTTGCCTGATCCAGTCAAAAATTCATCACTGACCTCAGCAGCCAGATGCGGAAAGCTGCAAACATCATCTCTCGCTGGTATACTCCATCTGCATTGATACACGACCTCATCATCCCGTGGGTGAGCAGGTGGCACCGTTTGTGGGAACATGTAGGTGTTGTAGACAACACAGCCAAAGGAAAAGGCATCCTGTGCCGGACGCGCCCCCACACGACCCCGACCGAAAAGCACCTCCGGTGCTACATAGCCCGCCGTGCCCGACGACGCAGTAGCAGTGCAAGGCAACATGGTGGCTTCAGCGGCAGCCTTGGCAATGTCGAAATCACCGAGCCGCACAACAGGTTGGTCCTCCTCGCCATCCAGCATGACGTTGCTCAGCTTGACATCTCGGTGCACCAGGCCTTTGCTATGCATAAACGCCAGGGCCATGCGCAGCTGCGTCATCAAACTCGCAACGACGGTCGAGGTGGCCAGATGCCGCGCCTTGCCGAGCCACTGCTGCAGATCTCCTTGGGTACACCACGGCTGCACCAAGTAGGCGCTGGGGTGGCCACTGTGCACGTCCAGAAGCGCACCAAGGACTGGAACGATGTTTGGGTGCTCAAGCTGGCGCATGGCGCGGAGTTCGCGCAGAAACGTACGGCACTGGTCCTGCTTGTGTTGCCGAGCAAAAGCGTACTCCTTGACAGC